CATAGCATAATTGTTAGGCAAGACTGGTTCACATTTCCATAACAGTGCTGTTTTGTAGTGGCCTTCCTCCTTGACTGTGTTGCTTTCAAGGATGGCCAGAGCTTGTTTGTCTTCAACTGACAAGGTGGACTCAGAGAGAACTCGCTTGGTTGAGTAAGAGTCGATCTCCCAAAATCGTTCGATTTGATGCTGCAATGTAGTCTCTCTATCTGATGCGAGAAAGTTTGCACTAATTGTTTCACAGTGTCCTTGATTCACATTTCCAAACAGCGTCCATCCAAGTCTTTACTGCGATGGGCTCATCCCGTCGCCCCTGGCGGACCTCAAGGTGAATCAATAAGTGAGCCATGTCAGCTCCAATGAGAACCATCACGTCACCACCTTGGAGTTCAGGAAGATCTACGTCAGATAAGTGATTCCACTGCTCGACGGTCCTTTTCGTCGACAACTTGAGAGATGGAATGTTGAGTTTTTTGATGACCCAAGCTCCATGCACCATAACCGGGTCTGGCTGTTCTTTAGAGGAAAGACTAAAGCTTACCCTGTCTAAGTTCTGAGTAGTAGCTTCATTGCCAACTGTATTAATGTTAAGGCGATATGTCTCGCCAACAAGTTGTAAGCGTTCAGCTAAGTCTTTCCTAATCAGGATTGAGTCACTTCCAGGATCAAGGACAGCATATGTGTCAACCGTGTTCCCTTGACTATGAATTCGAACTGGGAGCACTTGAAGGAGGACCTTCCGCTGAGGTTGAAAACAGACTTGGTTGATGTTGGTCTGGACGATGGGCAACGAATTTGACACCGGTTCTGGGTTACGGGCATTTTCCTTCGGAGAAGCCGATGTTTGGATAAAGCTACTTTCGTTGCTGGTGAGGCTAGAACGCGACTCTACTCGAAGATCCTTGTGTAAAAGGGTGGGGTGGGAACGCCCGCACCGTTCTTTAAGACAACGCTTTGTACTCGGGCAATTCTTGACTTGGTGGTTCGTTTTCAAACAATTGAAACAAAGTCCATGTTCCCTTGCAATTTTTCGCCTTTCTTGTAGGTGCTCAGACTTAAAGACAGGACAAAAGGCAACAGGGTGTGTGTACTTGCAGATGACACACCCCTTTTTATTGGATGGGGCTTTCTCCCGCTCTTTGTTCAATGATTGGGTTTGGGCTACTTTGGAATCTGACAAGTCGCTGCTGTTGCTTAGGGCGTCAGGAGACCCTCTTGTCGTCGTGGCGAGGGAATTTAACTTAAGATTTGGCTTTGCTTTGGGGTACCTTTGTTTCTTGTTCCATTCTTCGCATATGAAATCTTCAAGGGGGTTAAACAGTGTTTCTACTCGCTTGCGTAACCACTGCTCAAACTCTACCAGGGTGGATCTATCACTGCGTCCATCTATGTATTCAAACCATCTTACTCGAAGTTTCATGGGTAACCTCATCTTTACACACCATGTCGTACATGCTTTCACTTGGTAATAGTAGTCACGTAATGCTTCCCTATCATTTGAGGGTACATAGGCACTGTTGAGCATGTCATTCAGATAAGCTGTGGCGACACTGTTGGGGTTCCCAAACTGACATTTTAAAGTCTTAAGGCCAGTTGGGTAACTATGACCTGTAACACCTAGACTTTCCACTGCTTTCTTAGCTTCCCCGTCAAGATTTTGGAATAAATAAGCCATTCTATCTGAGTTGGTGAGGGTTGTCTTGTTGTGAATTTGATCACGAAACCTCTCAATGAATTTAGGCCACTCGATAGGTTTTCCTGTGAATTTGAAGAGCTCAAGCGGTGGTAATCGCTGCTGTTCTTGAGCTCGAAGAAGAGCTACACTTGAATGTGTCTGGAAGCTAGTAAAGGACCACTGAAAGGCTGTTTCCTGGCCTTCTCTCAATTTGTCAATAAATGTATCAACCGGTTCTTCTACTTGAAGTGAATGACTTTCATTTCTGCTAGGTCCACCAAAGTGAGGGGTTGATGTGCTCCGGCTGGCTGGGGCCCATTGTGTTACGTAAGATGGTTGAGAGTGGTTTCATGGGGCAGTGAAGTTTGAATTGCAAGGAGTTTGGGTTAAGTTGTCATGGCAACTACCACTAGGTGTTGATGCCAGAACAACACTGCCATCCTCCACTAGGGAACTAACTGTCGGAGGGACTTCTCCACCAGGCCCACGGCAAAATGACCAAGTAACGGAGGTTGTTGTAAGAGCAGCTGTATTACTATTATCAAATGACGCAGGTTTTCGCGGGGACGCGGTCACATAACCAGGTGAAGACAAATCTCTGTAAGATGGAGGCCTCAAGGCTAGACTAACAGGGGTAGCAGCAGTTTGAGACGAGTATTTTCTTTCAGGACTGTATAATCCCCGTTGAGGCGACTGCACTGCAGTACTGAGTGTTAACATATCTGATTCACTTGCTTGGGCAACTGGTACCAGAGTAGAGCCTAAAGTGAGGCTATTCCTATAAGCTGCATGGAACTCTAGATACTTTACTGGCAAGGGCTTGGAAATTGCACGCAATGGAGAGCATTCAAATGAGACAACTTTTCTATCAGAGATGACTCTGTGTAAACATCTCCCTTGAGTTCTTGGAAATCGTATCCCTTAGTAATCCCGGGCTCAACTTCAGTACAGGGACTGTCTTTGCGTTCAACCTCAGAGGTTGCCTTAGGACTGGGCACTACATGTTTCAAAGATGGCGAAGATTTACTGACCTTGAAGATTTCATCATTAGAGCCCTTTCCTTCGTTAAATTCTTGACCGTATTTCATGATCAAGATGTGCCATCTCAGCTTGATTTTGAGCGGAAATCACAGCCATTTCGTCTTCTCTTTTCTTTCGTAGTAGGGCGAGCTCTCGTTTTCGACATTAGAGTTTCCACTCTAATTCCCTTTGAACCATTTCTTCTTGAAACTCCTGTTCACGTACTTCATTGTCTCTCTTAACTCGTTCGGCCAGCTGTTTTGCTTGAAAGATTGCGATGGAGGCCTTTACTTTAGCGTCTCTTCTTCTTTTTGACGAGGACGACGAAGAACTAGAGTGAGAAAGCGCTTTGGAATGACCAGAATCGACCTGGCTTACGGAATCTTCACGAGTCACTTCAAGGCTGCTGTGAAGCGGTGATATCACACATTCGTCGACCAAGTGTCACGATTCTTTATTGCTCATCGTGAGCGACTGATTTGTATCCGGCTCGAATGGACCAAAATTGGTAAGACAAAATAAATACGAGAATTTTAATATTACGACGTAAACACAACGTTACAATTCTAGTGTTCTCGCGCAAGCAGTCTTGGGTATAGCGTTACAACAGTTGCGATGGCCAGCGGCCGCTCCAACCAGGAAAAATTTGTACACACATTTTTTTTTGTGCTCTCCTCACCGATCTTTCTTTTTCTAGTACCTATTTCCTTCAGAAGAGGAAAGATATGCGCAGGCCTCCCGGTTAGCTCAATGGATAGAGCGCTGGACTGTTGTCAGTGTAATACGCAGACTGCGGACTGCAGACCGGCAGACTAAGGGTAAAATGCAGACTGTGGACTGCAGACCAGGGGTAAAATGCAGACTGCAGACTGCAGACCAGGGTTAAAATGCAGACTGAGGGTAAGATAAAATATTAATAATAAAAAACAAGACTTTGGAGTGTTCCTACCGGTCAGCATTAGATTCCATCCACCAAAACCACCTCGGTCGAGAGGGACTGAGGTGGAATACTTAACAACTTGCAAATCATAACCGAAGATTCTTGGAAATCCGCGCGGAGACATAGCCGAACACCCGAAGAACAAACAGAAACAATATGGCGGGAATTTTAAAGCGTGCCTGATGGTAAAGATGCGGATAATTTTGGATACGTAAATTCTGTTGATGAGGCGTATAAACTCATTGCGGAATTCGAAACAGGATCGACGACGAAGTTTGCTTGCTTTAAGGCTGACAAAGGTTTCGGAAACACTGGTATGCCCATATATATTTGAAAGCGTTACGTCGTGCTAGCTTGTATCACTCTCGTCCTTGCTCTACTGATCCTATCTTCCATCACAATTTAACAACAGATCACTCGAACAGAAGTCACAAAATACTCTGGGAAGATCCACGAGACATTAAAGGTACAAAAAATTCCTTTTAATGGTGTGCCTTTCATAATTTTGGGAAGGAAAGTGTTCGATTGTCAGCACGGCAAAGATAGAAAAGCTGGAGAGAAAAGGAAACGAAAAGACGCAGAAGAAGTAAATGAAATATTGCACTGTACATACACATATNAGAAGATCATCAAGAGGATCCACGAGCTCGTTGCGGGGGGGAGTTAAGGAAATATATGAAAAGAGACGGCATTTGAAAATCTTTGTGAAAGAGGTCTTGTTTCGAGATGATCAGCACAAAACACAAACCGACGATACTTCCCTAGGACATCTGACCTGCGCATGTATCTGACCTGCGCACGCACATGTATCGAGCTACGGTTACAAACCGCATTTCAAGAACTGACCCGGCAAATGTCCTCATAAAGACAGATAAGTGGAGAAAAGTTTACAACGCTGATTCCTTTTTCTTTTGTCCCCACTCAGAACAAGTAAACACGCCTAAAGAGGTTCCAGTCTGGTCTGAAAATGAAAAAGAAGAAGGTGATCACTGCAAAATGATGCATTAGGGTTCTTATTTATAGCGTATTGTTTATGGTATATCTGTGATCTTTGCCCCGCCTTGACGAGATATCCCTTGATTTTACCATACCGCTTTCTTTTGTTGCTGTTGTTATAGATGAGTTGGATGAGGAAGTACGTCTCACTCAAGAGGGGGGAGAACAAGAGTGGGCAATCACCTCAAAGAGGAAATGGCAATGGTAAAAATGTAAAGATCACAGAATATTAAAACTTCAAAACAGTTTGGTTTAAATATCAAGATGGTAAGACCAAAAAAAACGAGAATTTCAATGTTACGACGTAAACACAACAACGTTACAATTCTAGTGTTCTCGCGCAAGCGGTCTTGGGTATAGCGTTACAACAGCTGCGATGGCCAGCGGCCGCTCCATCCTCCCCCCCCCAGTGAGTCAATAAGACGAACGACAACCTAAAAACAACCTAAATGAACCTGGATCACAGACAACAAACAGTTTCCGTGAAAAGGCTACAAGTGTTCTCAATTAGATCAGAATTCAACATCGCTCTCTTCAAACAGATTCCTCCAACACGCATAACTTTCCGGCAGGTCGAATCAGGGTTCCGTTAGGAGTTTTCACTTCTGCCATACAAACTCTACCATCCTTCCCAGGGAATGTCTTTAGAATTCGTCCGAGGGGCCAATGTGACCGAGGCGCATCATCAACCTTCATTAGAATAAGATCTCCTTCCTTCAAGTTCCTTCGTTCTTTATTCCATTTTGGGCGCATTGTCAAGGCAGGGAAGTATTCTTTACGCCACCTCCGCCATATCATGTCAGCTAGCGCTTGGACCATTCTCCATCTCTTGCGGCTATTAATTTCTCGCTCCTCAAATCGGCCAGCTGGACTGTTTGGCGAGGCTCTTCCGATGAGAAAATGGTTTGGCGTCAGCGCTTCGAAATCGTTGGGGTCATCACTGACGGGAGTGAGGGGTCGACTATTAACAATAGCCTCTGTCTCGAGAAGGACTGTATGGAGTGTTTCCTCTGGTAATACCTGGTCATTTATAGCTCTGGTAATACCTGGTCATTTATAGCTCTGGTAATACCTGGTCTTCATAGCTCTTTTGACCTGCTTGACCATTGACTCGAATATTCCTCCCATGTGTGGGGACGACGGCGGGTTGAAGTACCAAGTGATCCTTTCTCGGGCCAGCTCGCCGGTAATTCGTCCCTGACTCAAGGACTTTAAAGCTTCACCTAACTCTCTGTTCGCTCCCACGAAATTAGTTCCGTTGTCTGAACGGATTGTCTTTGGGTTGCCTCTTCTCCCACGAAACCTT